GGCAGTGCGCGGTGGACGCGAGCCGGCCGCGGGGCCCCCAGCGCCGCTATTGTCATTTCTTCCTCCCCCACAGGATGAACTTACGCCCTTGCTCTTCTCTGCCATGGAATTCCGCTCCGTGCTTCTAGGCCTCCAGAGCCAAAGAACCCACAGACAACAGATGCTCCTACGCAGCGTATAGCAGTAACTCCCTAGCTCGGTTTCTGTGCCGTCTTTTACAGTATTTAATTTTATATAATATATATTATTTATTATAGTGTTTTGATACCTCATCATCTGTTTACACATCTTGAAAGCTGCACAGTAATTCTCGTATTAATTAAAAAACCACTACTCTTGAGAATGGCGTCTACCGTGCCCCCGCTGAGTACTGTCGCTGCTACCACCGCCGCTTCTGGTCCGTTGGTGGACTACTTATGGATGCTTATCCTGGGCTTCATTATTGCGTTTATCTTGGCTTTCTCCGTGGGAGCCAATGATGTAGCGAATTCGTTTGGTACAGCTGTGGGCTCAGGTGTAGTGACCCTGAAGCAAGCCTGCATCCTAGCTAGCATCTTTGAAACCGTGGGCTCTGTCTTACTGGGGGCCAAAGTGAGTGAAACAATCCGGAAGGGCTTGATTGATGTGGAGATGTACAACTCGACCCAGCAGCTGCTGATGGCCGGCTCAGTCAGTGCTATGTTTGGTAAGTTCGTTTTAGTGATGAATGAGCAAATTTGCATGATGAGTGATTCCATTCTTGTGCTCTACGTTTCAGATTTTTTCTTTCGGAATTCCCTGTTCACATGATGGAATTTTGCTGCTTAATAAAACTTCACTGTGTTTCAGGTTCTGCTGTGTGGCAGCTAGTGGCTTCATTTTTGAAGCTGCCCATTTCTGGGACCCATTGTATTGTTGGTGCGACCATTGGTTTCTCCCTCGTAGCAAAGGGGCAGGAGGGCGTCAAGTGGTCTGAACTGATAAAAATCGGTATGTTTAACTCTAAATGGCTTCTTAATTTTTGTCATGTATTACCATGTATGTACGGGAGAAGATGGTGTAAAATGGAAGGACAGACTTAAACAATTTTGAAAATGGAACATTGAAGTGATTTCTGCTTCTTGATTTGCAGTAGCTGACATTTTTTTCTTAATGTGTTCTATTCCAGTGATGTCTTGGTTTGTTTCTCCGCTGCTTTCTGGTGTTATGTCTGGAATCTTATTCTTCCTTGTTCGTGCATTCATTCTCCGTAAGGTAATCTTTTTCCTCCCTATCATGATTTTTAATGGGTCACTCAGTCATGTTCAAATTGGGGCAGCATTCTTGCAAATGATAATGGGTGTGTAGGTGTTGTGGTCTTGGAAGATTAAAAAATTCTGTATGCTTCTTGTATGTTGCATTCTCTGAAAGAAGCAAGTTTTCAATACCCGGGAGGGAAAGATTGAATGAGTACTAGGGCTTACCAAGAAATAGGAGAGACAAGTGGAGAAATAAGGGCATTTATTTAAAATGAGTTTGGCTGTGGGAGCCCTGTGGCACACTGGTTAAAGCGCTTGGCTACTAATCAAAACGTCTGTGATTGGAACTCACCAGCTGCTCTGAGGGAGACAGTCTTGGAAACCGAATGGGGCAGTTCTGTAGGGTTGCTATGAGTCAGAATCAACTCTGCGGCAGTGGGTTTGGTTTTGGTGTCTAGCTGTGTGTAGATTACTACTTTGCCTAAGCCGGTATTATATTCAGACTAATTTGAATTGTAAGTCTGGAGGTTCAACAAGTCAGTGTCCCTTGGGGCTGTTTCTGAGCTGCCAGTTAAATGGAGTAGTTTGAGTCTTGACATAGTTCTTTCTACAACGCTGATTATCATAACCAGTTTATAAGTCTCTAGATGAGGATTGTATTCACACGTGACTCGACTCTAGTTTTTTAGAACAGATAAAAAACCAGTAAAGGTAGTTTTTCTTTTTTGCCCCCCCCCCCCAATCCTGGCAGTCGTTTTATTTCCTGTCCATTTGAAAATCTTTTTGAGAGACCCGATCACGTTTCTTTTATCAAGAAGTCAGATGTTGACTGCAAAATAAATGTGGACAACAAGGGATTATGTTGGCATGGGACTAAGTTACATTAAGAGTAAATGCATTTTTTTCAGGAAACAAAGTTGTCCTTTTTCTCAGGTGAGTGGCTTTTAACTGGTCCATTGTCAGTTCTTTAAAATGTTCCTGAACTGTAGAAATCTGAGTGAGGGGAGATAGGTCACTTAATCCCAAGAGGTAAGAATGTGTTTAGATTCACTTGTCTGGTCTAGTTTTAAGCTGCTCTGGGGAAGGATTTGTATCATGTCTCTTCAGAAATTCTAGGAAAGTGATCATAATCACTGTTTCCCGTACCCTGAATCTGGCAAAATATAACAATTTGACTGTTAAAGATTTGAAACATCTGTAACCCCTTGCGATCGAGTCATTTGACACTGATAGTGACCCTGTAGGATAGTAGAAGTGCCTCATAAGTTTTCCAAGGCTATCATCTTTACAGCAGCAGACTGCCACATCTTTCTCCTGCGTAGTGGCTGGTGGATTTGAACTGCTGACCTTTCGATTGGCAGCTGAGTGCTTAACCACTGCGCCACCAGAGCTCCTACTGAAACATCCATAGGTAGGTATAATTTGACTGATAGAGCATGAACAGTTTATTGGTATTGACCAACTCAAAAAGTTCTGTTTTATTTAACAAGCAGGTATGATTAGCACCTACCTTCTTACTTCCCCCTAACTATAGTCTATGATAATACGGTGTTTGAATTTGAGGCTTATCCATAGTCATTGACCAGGTTTTTACTAGAGCTGCAGAGCCCTTTACAGACCAGAGAATTAATAGGGTCCTGTATGGATACTTTGTTGATTAGTGGGAGACAGATTCTTCTGGAGAAGCTTTGTGTGTGTTCCCTCCAGAAAACAAGCTTGTCTTCTTTCCTGGAGGGAGAATCGTGCTGTGAGATACCAAGAGGGATTTTTCAGGTCCCGTCCCTCACCCCCCACCCCCCGAAAAACCAAACCCGTTGCTGTAGAGTTGATTCCAACTCATAGCGACCCTATAGGAGTGTATACAGTAGAACTGCCTCATATGGTTTCCAAGGAACGACTGGTGAATTCGAACTGCTGACCTTTTGGTTAGCAACCAAACTCTTAAGCACTACGCTACCAGGGCTCCTTCAGGTGCCAAGAACCTATCATTTGAGGAATGTACTTCTCAGTTTCTGAGAGCTTAAGTTAGATATATTAATTTATATTCTAACTATATACTTCTTGTGTAGTTATGAGGGATGAAAATGATCAAGAACGATTAGAATAGTGTATAAAACAATAGTGACTTTGAGGCTTTTTTATATCACCCCTCCACCCTGTGTGTGTGTACACACACCCCAGTCCCTCAGTGACAGATAAGGAGTTTTTAGGTGATGAGTGTAAATATTTATGGTTACCGTTAGGTTTTAAAAATGCTGGAAAAAATCCTTAGACTGGTAAGCTTTTTGGGTCTCATCTGACAAGATCTGAATATTTGAACTTTAAGATACTTTCCAACTCTTTTAAGATTCTATTTTGGAAATCAAGATTAAAATTGGTTTTTGAAAAATTTCCATCTTCTGAATGTCTCTTTTCCAAAGATAACTAGATTATTTAGGAGGAAAAAGCAGAATGAAGGTGAGGTCATTCTGTTAAGGATTGTTGTGGCGTTAAACAGAGGAATAGAGGAAGAGGAGAGTTTTCCTTTTGAGTATTTAAATTCTGGTCAAGAACACGGGCCATCAAGCATTATCCCATTTGTTAGGAATCATTAAATATGTCTAGAACAGCTTTTAAACCTTAGCAGACCTTTTGTTTAAACAAAAACTTAGCGGAACACCCAGTATGTAGAAAATGAACTACTCTGGCTGAAAATGGGGAACTTTAAGCCTGTCTTTCTTAGAGTACGTAACTGGACGGTGAGGTGTATATGTACGTTGTTCCCAGGCACAGTTTTAGGTGTGTTAGATGGATCATGCAGTGATAAACAATTTCATAAAAACCGTTAGCCTTAGTTACCTTTTGGGAGTAACTAGAAGGCTAGAGGAAGTAAAGAGGCTAGAGTCTTTTGAACTTTTTTTTTTCTAAAACCCATGAGAATGTATTTCATAATAAACTGTTAGTAGTAGTGTTACCATTTCCTCACTGAGTTCACTGCTGGTTGCTTCAGGGAATACTTGATTGGACTGTACAAAAAAATACTAAAACTCTTCGGCCTGTATTGCTGCTACTCAACTTTTGACCAATTACAGTTTGATTTGTAGATACCGTATTAGCAGATAGTCTTTGATAATCTGTGAAGAGAAATCCCTACATAATGTATCTAGAACCGTAATGGGCTTATTTTTTTTTTTGGGGGGGGGGGAGGTCTTAGGTCTCTTGGGAGAAGCTCTGGTGACGTAGGGGTTAAGCGCTCAGTTGTCAACTGAAAGGTTGGCAGTTTGAACCCACCAGCTGCTCCATGGGAGAAAGACCTGGCAATCTGCTCCCTAAAGGTTACAGCCTTGGAAACTGTGTGGGACAGTTCTGTTCTGTCCTGTAGGGTTGCTGTGGATTGGAATTGACTCCACAAGGATACGGTTTGGTTTAGGCCTCCTGGAGAATTTTTTTAAACTGTGAATAGTTCTTAAAAGAAAAATGCATATACATCTCAGGTTTATAACCTGATTGCCTTGAGTGTGACTGACACTGATACATTATTCAGAGGTGCTTAACAGTTCTAGGTTCTGTAATCTATTCTTGGGTCTGTTTTGGTGATTTCACTATCCTTGTAAGCAATGGGTAAACCAAAAACAATGGCTGGGGAGTTAACATTCAGAGTGGTTTTATTCATTGAGGGCCATTGATTAGGAATGGCATCCTTACTACACAAATGGGTCCATGTCTGAGCTTTTCTGTTTCGTTGATCTTAAGCCACTAACCTCATTCTGCCCAATGTATTGTTTATTTTTATCAGGTTTAGAATCGCTTTAGGGTCTTTGTTTTGTTACTCCCCCCCCCCCCCCCCGGCAATATTCCATTGGAATTGCGATCAAGATTATATTAAACCTTTGGGCTAGTATCTTTAAAATTGATCTTTGTCGTTTACTTAGGTTTGTGCTCCCATTCTTTAAGTGTTTGACTTGGGTGTTTTCCTTTCCTGTAGAATTAATGCACATTCCTTGTAAGTGGAACTCCTCTCATTTCCAGTCACGCTGGCCTCCTTGTTTCATAGAGTTTTTTGCCTCCTGGCCTTTGTATGTGCTAATACCTCTGTGTGGAATAATTAGCTGGGTGACTTGCTCCTTCTTTACCGCTAGTTGCTTATGCAAGTGCTGGCTTACTACATTCATGTCTCTACTCAGGTGACACTCATTCCCTGACCTCCCTGGACTAAAACGTGCCCCTCCTTCCATCACTGTCCCGTCAGCCTTCTGGATTTTTTTATAGCACTTGTCAGAGCTTAACATTATTCCATAGTCGAATATGAATATTCTGTGAGGCAGGAGCTTCGTTTCATTTACTCCTGTATTCTAGTGCCCAGAATAGTCCTTGGCAGATAGTTGAAAGAGTGGATAAACTAATGCATGATTGATTTTTATCTTAGCACTTCGGTGAAACGTGGTATATTTGTACGTGAAGTGGTTGTTGCCTATCTGATCTACTACACGTTTTACTTTTAAAAAATCTTCGAAGGTAGAAAGTCAGATAAAGCAGTGTCCTAACATCTGATGGTCTCTATCTTGCCATCTGTTACAGAAGTGTAGTTCATTTTTAGATATGTGCTCAGACTTTGTAAGGAGAGTTTTGAGATTACATCTGGACTTCTTCACGTACCCTGAAAATGTGCGTATTGAAAGATGATTATTCTGGATTTCATCAGTCAGTACTGTAGGTAGGTCGCTTTATTATTCAAATGGCAAGTAAATAAGTAACATAAAAAGGAAAGAAGCAAAAAAGACATGTTGACTGGAGGACCAAAACACAGCTCCGTAAACTGAAATAAATGCAGGTGGAAGATGGCATCAGCCTTGGTGGGGAGACTTCCAGGAGCATATGGAGGAAAAAGCTCAGTTGCCCTTGGAAACTGCTGTGGAGAGACGTTGGCGCTGTAATTCCTGAACCTGCTCTGTTACAAGGTTTTGTAGAAATGGGTTAACTTTTACAGCTTTCAGTGTATTGATCTTAATGGTGTTTTACAGGCAGATCCAGTTCCTAATGGTTTGAGAGCTTTGCCAGTTTTCTATGCCTGCACAGTTGGAATAAATCTCTTTTCCATCATGTATACTGGAGCACCTTGTAAGTACATCCTAAAATATTTAAATGTCAATTTCAAGTTGTTTACAAAACTTGTATTAAATGCACAATTTACCCCTTTTTGCTTTTCAGGGCTGAAATCTCCTAGAAGGTGGCTGGCCTGCGCCCATTTCAGAAGGCTGCAGGCTAGTGTATGCTGAGTTAACCTAGATAGTTTTTCAACCAAAGAGACCTGCTCAGATTCTAAATCACTACAGACCTTTCCTCTTTAGTCTTCACAGGATCCACCGATAATACGATCTTCTCCCTCCCTTTCTCCTATCTATGCTAAAAATGCTGGAATTGATATTGCCCTCAACTACTGAAGAGTCATTAGTAGTATTTGGTCTTCAGCAGTCAGTCATTTAGAACTAGTTTGCTGGATAGTCTGATTTTTCTCTTCCAAATGGAGCTACTTTTGTTTCTAAGTACTAAATTTACTCCCTGAATCTGCTTGAATGAGAAGAGTTGGCATGTTTAACAACTGGTCTAAGTGCACTTGGAAGAAGAATTCATGCAGCTAAGAGGAAAAAATCTGTGAGAATGTAAAGATTGAAACATTTACTTTTACATTGGAACTAAGGCAAAGCATGAGTTAAATCACAGCTATATATGTATAATTTAACAACTACAAAAGATTGAGGACTTGTAACCCGTTAGGCAGGACAGTACATGCCTTGGACCAGCTGTCCTGGCTAAGCTCCTGTGGTTTGGTTGTCACTGGCTTTAAGTCTTCTGACTGGGACCCATTGGAAGCCATGGTGTTGCTGCCCAGAGCTCACATGGCTTTACACAGAACGAGTGAGCTAGATAGATACCTGCTTACTACGTGTGATGCACTATTTTCAAATACACTAGTTTTTTAAATGCTGATTGTGGCCCATTAAATTGATTTTTCTTCTGACTAATGGGTTGTGATTTGCTTCTTCAACCACATGTAAGTAATGTCACTGGCCAGAAATGGAATTAGCTAAGTAATTTTAACCTTGCCTTTGTTCTTGGAATAAATCGAGAAAGATAAATGGAGTACTTTATGAGATTTATTGATCTCAGGAGATACTAGACTCCTTATTCTAAATGGTGTGTATGAAGAAAAACTTGTTTAAAATTGTGTTCTTGATAAACAAGAAAAATCTCCCATGAAACTAAGTACTGCTGGTTTATGCGTTAATGGCAAGGTTCATAGTTCAGTGAAATCAAACAAATTTTTAGTCAGTTTTGAAAATGTGAACTTCGACATTTTTTCCTGTCCTTTGTGGATCGTTTACCAGAAACATCAGTGTCTTTGTTTCCGCTTTTTGACTTTTGGAAAGTAGGCAGATTTGCATTGTGATAGACACTGATTAAATCTTATGTACAGCTCAGTCTGTCTGACTTGCCAGCGTGATGAAATTGAGAGCAGAGATTAAGGTGAAAAGACAACGTAGTCACTATAGGCCTTCAGTCTAAGAAGAGACTATAGTTTGTCTGATTTTTAAAGACTGATCATTGGACAATAGAATTTCCATTTCATAAGTTAATTTCTAATAAGGAAAATAAAGCAAAAGAACTACAAGTAACTAAGGTGTTCTTAGAGAACTACAGATAATTGTAGTGTCTTTTAGACTTAATTGGATTATATAGTGGTTTGATTCTGTCTTCAGTACAGGTTAGTGATTTGGAGTTTATTAACATTAAAGTAACAAGTAGATAACTAATTAGCCATCTCTGAGCCACGTAGAAAGTATTGGTAGGCAAGTGTCTTTTAAGATCTGGGTTATTTGTGAATTTACTACCAAACTGTTTTTCCTTTTGTGAAAGCTCTTTAAGATAATCTTATCTTTTGATAGACAACATTCCAGTTTTCTTTGTTTCTTAGTTTGGTAATAGTTCCAAAGAGACAATCTTGTTAAAAGATTTTACTGAAGGCTAGTATGGATGTGATAACTTTCTGTAGAAATTTTATCAGCTTGACTCCTTCCTTTTTAACATTAAATAAATCTGTATGTGCAAATGTAGAGTATGGCAGCTAACGTGAGAAGGCTGGTGAGTGGGATAGCTAGTTTGCAAGTCTTCATAATAAAGTAATCCTTAGTATCTTCTTTTAAAATGAAGAAAGGAAGAAGACAGGGATAGAATGTGAAGGAGCTTAGGAAGTTTCAGTCTTGCAAGTGTTTAAGATAACTGTTGGATTTTTCTCACAGATTGAAAGCTGATTTATTTTTATAGCTGTTAGCACAGTAAACTCTGGTAGCAGCTGTGAAAGGTGATGGGCTGGCTTGGGGATCCCCTCAGAGTCCCAGAGGGTTTACACATCATTGCAGGGGGCTGTTGCCCTGGGGTTTTCAAGATGCACCGTTTTATCTCCTAGTGCTGGGCTTTGACAGACTTCCTCTGTGGGGTACCATCCTCATCTCGGTGGGATGCGCAGTTTTCTGTGCCCTTATCGTCTGGTTCTTTGTATGTCCCAGGATGAAGAGAAAAATTGAACGTAAGTAACTGTGTGCAGCAGAAAAATATAACTAGTAACATGCTTGTTTGTTTGATCACCTGTAAAAACCCACTGTTTGGCCAAGTTGGCAATGTAAGACTTTTTTAGTAAATTTGGGTTTGTTGCCCAAACCGTATTTTTTTGTGGCATGAGTCATAAGGGCTATTTGACTTACGCTGTAGTTTATTTTCTTACTGTACCTGAATCAGTTGCAGTGACATGATAGATAAATACGGAGAAGTTGTAGCCTACATTAATTGAAAAATATGCAGATACCATAATGAAAAATTAAGAGGTAAGTACAGAACATTTTCGTAGAAGAAACGTTTGCCTCAGCTACTTACTTACGTGTAGTTCTTAGTGTATAACTTCAGATTCAGACACGTAAAGCTGAGTATAACGTGTATATCTGATCTTAAGAACAACCATTGCCATCGAGTCGATTCCAACTCACAGCGCCCCTATGGGATAGAGCAGAACTGCCCCATAGGGTTTCTGAGGAGCAGCTGGTAGATTGGAACTGCTGACCTTTTGGTTAGCAGCCAAATGCTGAAACCACTGCACCACCGGGGCTCCTTATCTGACCTTAGATCTGGTTAATTATCAGAGGTTAATAACTCAGGTTAATACAGATTCTAGAGGTAAGCATTTTTAAGGGCATGTGAGGGAGTCACTTAGGCTATTACTATACGTGTCGTATAGTTAAATACTAAATAGGTTCCGGTAGTTTTCTCATTAAATTTTGTATTCCTTTTCTTAGTGGCTGAGATCTTTTTCTGCCTTTTTCATCTGTGCAAATGCCAGGTTGGCGACTCACAGTTTATTCCTTAGAAGCAGGGTGATGTACAGACTGCAGTGGTGTCAGGAAGAGTGCTGTGTCACTGCAGCTGAACTGAAGGGCCTCGCAGAGGCTCTGTGCTTGGCTGTGCTGGACACTTAGCAGGAACAAGGCTTTCCAGACTTCCTGACCTCGTTTTGTTCCTCAGCGAGAGAAGAGACATCTTGCTAGATGCATGACTGCAGTAGCTGAAAGAGTGGGTTAATATACTGAGCTGCTGGCATGGGACTTTCTATCTGGCCATGGAGCTCAGAACCATAAGGCTTCTGAGATGTAGACTTTATTTCTGGAAACAAAGAAGTAGAAGTTAAAGTTGTCATTTCTAGTTGCGTGCATTGAACTGTTAACTTGCTTGAACTCTTGGGCTGAAATTCGAGGGATTCCTTTTTTGAAATATGATTTAGGTGTAGTCAGTACTGAAAAGGTTGGCAGGGAGCTAAGATTGGTAGGTGTCTTAGTTCTCTGATGCTGCTGTAACAGAGATATCACAGGTGGGTGGCTATAACAAACAAATTTATTTTCTCACAGTTTAGGAGGCTAGAAGTATGAATTTAGGGCTCCGGCTCTAGGGGAAGGCTTTTTCTCTGGGGGTGGGGTCTCCTCTCTTTTCAGCTTCTGTTTCTTGGGGATCTTCATGTGGCATGGCATCTGTCTTCCCCCATCTCTGCCTGCTTCCTTGATCTGCTCTGTTAGATTTCAAAACAGATTGATTCAAGACGCGCCATACACTAATGCTGCTGCGTAACAGCAGAGAGAATATTTCTGTGTTTGTTAATATAATGAAGAAAATGCATTCCCAAACGGGAGTAAAACCACACGTACAGGGGTTAAGATTTATAGCACATATTTTTTGAGAGTCATAATTCAATCCATGGAGCCCTGGTGGTGCAGTGGTTAAGAGCTTGGCTGCTAACCAAAAGGTCAGCAGTTCGAATCCACCAGCTGCTTCTTGGAAGCCCTATGGAGCGGTTCTGCTCTGTCGTATAGGGTCACTATGAGTTGGTATCGATTCGGTAATGGGTTTGGTTTGGGTTTTTAATTCAATCCAGAAAAATAGGGCTGTAAAAATAATAATAAAGAACAAGAATATGTGACTAAGAGTTTAGAAACCTAAAATATTTGTTCTCTGGCCCTTTGCAGAAAAAGTTTGTCAACTCCTGATGTAGGGTGTTGTGCATTGCTGGTTTGTTCTTAGGTGTAGGATGAGTTGTTGACAAAGTAGATGGGAAAATTATCCTTGTTTGTAATTTACGTGTGTTCTTACTGTGAGGTGGGGTGGGGTGGGGAAAGGGAGCTGTGCAGGAAGTTGGTGCGGTCGAAACCAAACCAAAACACCCCTTTTCTAGGAGAAATAAAGTCCAGTCCTTCTGAAAGCCCCTTGATGGAAAAAAAGAACAGCTTGAAAGAAGACCGTGAAGAAACAAAGTTATCTCTTGGTGATGTTGAAAGTAGGAATCCTGTTGTCCCTGACGTGGGGTGTGCCGCTGCGCCCCTCCGGGCTGTGGTGGAGGAGAGGACGGTCTCGTTCAAGCTTGGAGACTTGGAGGAAGCTCCAGAGCAAGAGAAGCTTCCCAGCATGGACCTGAAAGAGGAAACCAGCATAGACAGCGCCATGAATGGTGAGTTGACATTCCACGAGTGGGGGAAATTGGTTCTCTTTGTTACCTGTGGTGGTGAAGAAACTTACTGTTTTGGTCTTGATGTTACCTTTTTGGTCTGCGTAGGTGCAGTGCAGTTGCCTAATGGGAACCTTGTTCAGTTCAATCAAGCGGTCAGCAACCAGATAAACTCCAGTGGACACTACCAGTATCACACCGTGCATAAAGATTCTGGCTTGTACAAAGAGCTCCTCCATAAATTACATCTTGCCAAGGTGGGAGACTGCATGGGAGACTCTGGTGACAAACCCTTGAGGCGCAATAATAGCTATACTTCCTATACCATGGCAATCTGTGGCATGCCTCTGGATTCATTCCGTGCCAAAGAAGGCGAACAAAAAGGTGAAGAAATGGAGAAGCTGACGTGGGCTAGTGCAGACACCAAGAAGCGAATTCGCATGGATAGTTACACCAGTTACTGCAATGCTGTGTCTGATATTCACTCTGCGTCTGAGGTGGACATAAGTGTTAAGGGAGAAATGGGTCTGGGCGACCGAAAAGGAAGTAATGGCTCTTTAGAAGAAGAATGGTATGATCAAGATAAACCAGAAGTGTCTCTCCTCTTCCAATTCCTGCAGATCCTCACGGCCTGCTTCGGGTCATTTGCCCATGGTGGCAATGATGTCAGGTTAGAAGACATTGAATTTTAGCACTGCTTTTTCCATTTTTAAAGTGTCTTACCGGTTTTATGGGGTGGGGGAGGCACAGTGGCAGTGGTACCCGTGCCATCCGAAGGACCCTGAATAGTCTAGGTAGAATGAGGTAATAGTAGTTCTTGACTTAATAATACAGGTGGTAAAATCTTAGTCTTTAGAGAGGTTATAAAGAACGTTTTTAACTTTGTTTCTGTAGATGACAAACAGATGTCTTTCACAGAAAAGCCTTTTTGTCAGGATAGGAACCAGTTCTTTGATAGTAAATAGTGGAATATAAGATGAAAACTTAAAACTACTGCCCTGTAGAATGAATTTGTGTGTTGTTAGCCTTAGTTCTGTGCTTTATAAGCTGTTCTCTGGACCCAAGAGTTGTTCCAGGCCCTTCGTAGGAGGAGAGGTGACCAGATGCATGGCCCTCCCCTCCATCAGAGTGGCTCATTTTTTTTCTGTTGTGTATGTTGAGGTTCCATATATTTCCTTTGAAAAAAAGACTCATTTGCTAAATGAGCTTGAAAGGTGTGCATTGAACAACTCCAGTGTGTTCAGCAAATCCAATCATGCTAGTTCTGCCTAGAAAGCCAACTGTCCCCTTTTTTTTTCTTCCAGCAATGCCATTGGTCCCCTGGTTGCTTTGTATCTGGTTTATGATACAGGAGATGTTTCTTCAAAAGTAGCAACACCAATATGGCTTCTACTCTATGGTGGTGTTGGAATCTGTATTGGCCTGTGGGTCTGGGGAAGGAGAGTTATCCAGACGATGGGAAAAGATCTGACACCAATCACCCCCTCTAGGTGAGTTGTTGAAGCAGGCCTTAGTGTAATACTCATTTTTCCATAAGAGATTATGTAATATTATATAGTGCTAACACATAAGTTGTTTTTTAGTTAAAGTAACCAAGTTTGTTGATGCGAAGTTTTTAAATTTTACTTAACTTTATGGCCCTTAAACATAATTTTGGTTAAACATTTATCCATTCAGCTTCAAAGTTCTGTTAACCAAATAACTTTTTTGAGGAAGATTTGTGTGCTAAGAGTGAAGCGCTGTGAATACTTGGCTTTTATTTGTCTTTACTCGGGAGCTAAGACTAATGTTTACAAAGTTCTTCAAAATAAAAGCGCAGACAGGTTTAATACTGGACTTCCAGAAGAGCCTAAAGCCTCAGTCAGACGTTGGAGGAGAGGGGAAAGAGGAGGAGTCTTGTGGCCCAACTTCAGATTTCAGGCGTTAGAGCAAATAAAGATGTCAGTGGATGTTTTGTCACCAAGTACAGCGAAAGCAAGATCACTTTAACTTGAAGTGCTAGCGTGTCAGAAAATCGAACTGAAGTAGTCACTCTTTTTTTGTCTACAGCGGCTTCAGTATTGAACTGGCATCTGCCCTCACTGTGGTAATTGCATCAAACATTGGCCTTCCCATCAGTACAACGCATTGTAAAGTAAGTCTAAAGGATGTGTAGTGTGTCTGATGAATGGTTCTAGTAACATGTAGGCTTTACTTCTCTGGTACTTTGATTTAGAAAGTTTTGTGCAGTAGGAGTCTTCAAGAGTCCACGAGTTTAGGACAAGTGAATACAAGAATGTAAAAGCTTATATTTTATAATTTTTTGTGTCTACTTGTTTAAGCAGTTAATGTATATTCTTCCAAAATTGTGTACAAGTCTTTTTCCATTACAGAGCACTAGCTGTGATTTCTGGCTCATTACAGTTGCTTTGTCGTTTTTTTGATCTCAGGTCATTTCTACTTTAGCACTGTTAAAAGTGCTCTTTTTCAGGAGGCCATTCAGAGTAGTTTGGGTGTGTGCTAATAAAGTAGTCAGCTTTATATAGTTCTGGCTATGTGGGTTGTTGCTGCCATTTGTGGTGGCTGAAGCCTTGGTTTTGCAAGTCTGGATGCTTCTGGATGGGCAGTTATTTACAGAGAGCACACCTTCAGGGCCTATCAAGGCTGAAATACTGAAGGTTGTTTGACCACTGAACAGTAATAGGAAAAGGACCAAACTGGCTTCCTTAAGGAAATTCAAGTTTGGCCCATTAGGGAGTCTGATGAATCATCCTTTTTCTGCCAGAGTATCTCTCCAGGTGATCAGCTGTTAGGTCTAATAGCAGCCTCTTGGTAGAATGATCTTTGGAAAACCTAAAATTTTAAATAATTTTGCATAATTTGATTTATTATTAAATCAATACAGTTGTTAAGAAATTCCAGGAGGGGAGAAAGAAGGTGTTTTTCTCGTATCATTTTACCCCAGTTAGCACAGATTTACTGACTGTATTTTTATATTGCCTTCATCTTTCCAAGGAGTAGTCTTCCTAACCTGTTACAAACCAGTTTTCATGGAATCAATCTTGTCCAATAGTCTGGAGCTCCTTATTTAAATAACTTTACGTTTAACAAAGTATCCTTGGCACTTTAGGAACCGTTTTCATAGATCTTTTTCCCTCTGTAGGTGGGCTCTGTCGTATCCGTTGGCTGGCTCAGATCTAAGAAGGCTGTTGACTGGCGACTCTTCCGCAACATTTTTATGGCCTGGTTTGTCACGGTCCCCATTTCTGGAGTTATCAGTGCTGCTATCATGGCAGTCTTCAAATATGTCGTCCTCAGAGTGTGAAGTTATTTGGGATTAAAATGTGTGTCAGTGTTCGGGACCACCTTACACATTCCTGCTCCCTTGAAGGATGACTCCAGTGTTACAGTCTTTGACTGACTGGGAGCTGTGGGAGGGAAGTGTTACTTGTGCTATAATTGCTTTTGTGCTAAATATGACTTGTCTCAAAATTAGCTATGTAAAATAGCCAGGTTTCCACTGGTTGCTAATGATGTCCCATTTTCTTCTGGGCTGTGACTTCCTGTACATATTTCTCTACTTTTTCTATCAGGCTTCAATTCCATTATGTTTTAATGTTTAAAAACAAACCACAAGTTAATCTTCAGAGACAACAACCATTCAGAGCCGTTTGCCAGTGTGTGCTCTGCTTCCTTGATTTCACCAGCTTCTGCCCGAACATGCACAGGGATTGAACACACACAGTTAAACTGAAGCTCCCCTTGTAGTCTCTGCTAGAAATAGTCATTTGTACTCTGCCTCCCTGTCAGAGTAGTGGCAGGTTCTATTGGCATAACGCGGAAAACTTCTAGAAGAATGAGGTTCTTTGAACACAGTGAAAACTGAAGTTAGTAGTAACCTCTTTGCAAGCAATTTATTGACTTACTGCTAAGAAGAAGTAGGAAGAAAAAGCCTTCTGGGAATCTTGGTTATTTCAGATTTTTGGCAGCTGGGATGGATGAATGAAGTGGAATGTGAATTTGGGCAGGTTAAATGGGACAGCCTTCATGTTCATCTGTCTACCTCTTAACTGAATAAAAAGCTTACAGTTTTTAGAAAACTTGTTCCCGTGGTTTTTGTTTGTGTGTTGCATGTTGAATTGTTTGGGTTCGTGATCAGAGAGCTGTGTATATTCTCTGGAGAGGGGAAGATCTGAGGGTAAGCGACTGCCCAGCTTCAGGCGGTCTAGTTCCTCACTCCTGTTAGGTTTCTTGTCGTTCCTGAAGTTTTCTCTGTACCTTTAAGCACACAGATGACGTTACTCCATGCAGGGCGTTACTCTTTACAGTTGGGCATTTTTCCTTTTATAGTTCAGCCTGGACATTTTCATGTTAGCACATATAAATCTACTCAGTTTTTAATACCACAGAGTTTTCCGTTTGACTACTTGTTAGCTGCTGTCGAGTGTTCTGGCCCATAGTAACCCCGAGTGTGCAGAGTAGAACTGCTGCATAGGATTTTCAGGGTTGTGACCTTTCAGAAGCAGATTTCCAGGCCTGTCTCCTGAGGCTGCTCACCATCAGCCTTTCAGTAGTCCATCCAGGAACTCTGTAAGACCCTTATCTAGATTGTCTCTAGCTTTCACTATTACAAAGAATGCTGAAAGGAGTGAGTGCGTCTGGCAGCTTCATTCAGAAATTCTGAGGGTTCTTCAATCTTGGTTGACTCAACCTTTTTTTTTGGCCTGTGATCAGAATAGTTAAATGAAAATGCATTTCCTCGCAAGCTGGGTTGATGGTTCCCGTCCTGAGAGCTGCAGGACAATGCTTTGGAGTTTTGTCAGGGAATGAGCTGGTTTACAGTGTTTTAAACACACCAGCGTAAGAACATGACAAGGGTAAGGCTGTGACCTGTGCCTGAGAAGGATCAGCCTGCTTGTTGGATCTGCACCGTGGGGTCCTGCTAGTTTATGGACTTGCTGAGTACTCAGTAAATTTTATGTCAGGCACTGTAACAGCTTTTTTAAAGGCACTTTAATCCTCACAACCTTTGCAGTAGGTCTTAGAAATGTTGAAATGAGCCTGGAGAACTGTAACTTTCCAAATATTCTATGTTATATGGACATTAGTTGTAGCTTTTGGGACTGGCTAAAAATAGCCTAAGACTTTATTTGAGGGAGGAAGGGGCTGTGGTAAAGGGAACCTAGCTTTAAGCCCTGTGCTGAAGCTTCAGGAGGAGACCCTCAGTTCTGGTACTGGTATGTCAGCTCCTGCGGCATGACCCCATAGAGGCCTAGGTTCTGTCAGGGCCCTGTAATTAAATGCGGAATGGTGATCTCGTCAACACTCCACCTTGGTTCAGAAGAGGACAGCTGAGAAAATAATTAAACCAAGGAAATGCTTGTCTAGGAAAAGGCAGCTAGACCTGGAGAAGAGAAAACCCATAGAGCTAGAAAGACCAGAGGGAAGGCTGTTTCCATGGAAATGTGTTCCAGATGAGGATTCCTGGGCTCTGGGGCAAGGACACAATGCTGGTGAAACCGTGGCCTCTTTTTCTTGGGCTTAGGTATTACCTTTCATAATAAAAAAGTTTTTTAATTACAGTTGTACATGTGCATGTTAAAGAATCAAATGGTTGAATAGTTTGTAACAAAAACAGGTCTCCTACCACCATTTTCCCCTTCCAGAAGCAACTGTTTTCAGTTCTTTTGGTATTGACTTCTGCTTATCTAAATAATAGGCTTGTATTAGTACTTCTGTATTTTGGCATCAGCTCTTGACTTCTGTCGTGGGTTGAATTGTGTACCCCCAAAATGTGTGCCAACTCGGCTAGGCCATGACCCCCAGTATCTGATGTGATTTTCCTGTGTGCTGTAAATCCTACCTCTACGATGGTAACGAGGCAGGATTAGAGGACTTAACGTTAAAGCAGGACTCAACAAGATTAGGTGGTATCTTAAGTCAGTCTCTTCTGAGATATAAAAAAGAAGTGAGCAGAGAGACAGGGACCTCATCACTACCAAGACGAAGAGCCAGGGGCGTGAGTCCTTTGGACCCAGGGTCCCTGCGCTGAAAAGCTCCTAGACCAGGGGAAGATTGATGACAAGGACCTTCCTCCAGAGCCGACAGAGGAAGACTTCCCTTGGAGCTGGCACGGTAAATTCAGATTTCTAGCCTCCTAAACTGTGAGAGAATAGATTTCTCTTCATTAAAGCCATCCACGTGTGGTATTTCTGTTACAGCAGCACTAGATAACTAAGATAACTTCCCATAGTGGAAAATGATGTTAAATTCTAGTCTTCAGCTACCATACACAGACTCTTCCTAATCTCTCACTTTCATGATATAATTTTGATGAGATCAGTATTGAGTATTTTAAAAATATTACTGAGCTGCTGAGTCTTTAAGTAAGTATATCAAGACCACTATTCCTGTATGACTTCTTGTAATCTATTTTATTTCAGTTGGGTCTATTGTAATGTCCCCCATTTCATTTCTTATTTGGGTGATTTGTGTCCTCTCCTGTTTTTCTTTTGTCAGTCTGGCCAGTGGTTTGTTGATTTTGTTGATCCTTTCAGAGAACCAACTTTTGGTTTTGTTGATTGTTTCTATTGTTTTTCTATTCTCTATTTCATTTATTTC